TGTTGTTATATCCTTTTGTTACTGTTTATTTATTAATAAATTTATATATTATTTTCATATACATTTTACTAATTTCTTTTCATCTCTCACACTTCTATTATAGAGAAAGGGCAAATAGCAATATTAAAATATTCCCGCTAATTAATTCCCTTTTAATGTGCACGAATTTCGTGCACCAGGCTACTAGTTCTATATGATAGTGGTTATATGGATTTAAACATATATAAAAATTCATCAAGCTGTTTAAGATTAATGCACCTCATTCAGTTTATTCTATGTATGCTATACCTCAACACTTTTTAAAAGTTTGGTTTAACAGGCTGAATTAAAACTGTCTCCTGATACAAGATTATTCCCATGGTGATACCCAAAAAATATTGTTGACTGACTAAATCAGTGATGGCGAACCTTTTGAGCTCGGCGTGTCAGCATTTTGAAAAACCCTAACTTAACTCTGGTGCTGTGTCACATATAGAAATTTTTTTGATATTTGCAACCATAGTAAAACAAAGATGTATATTTTTGATATTTATTTTATATATTTAAATGCCATTTAACAAAGAAAAATCAACCAAAAAAATGAGTTCGCGTGTCACCTCTGACACACATGTCATAGGTTCACCATCACTGGACTAAATGGAACAATTTGGAAACTTTCCTTTGCTTAAAATAAAACCACAGTTAGTTTATACAACACTGTATCGTCTGGTTAATTCAGTCATTAAAATGAAACAGGTAAGCACTGAATTTGAATTAGATAGCAGCAGGCCTTTTTTTAGACTGTTTAAGGAACATCATGGCAATAATTTTAGGAAACAGGCAATGCTAGTGATTGCAATACAGGGTGCTGAAAGTATTGGTGAGTTTATAGATTTAAAAATGTAAAAAATATGTTCACAGAAGCTGGGATAACCTTCAAATTGTAAGTAAAATTAAATTTTCTCAACAAGAAAATCTTCCCAGAAGAGAGATTAGGAGAGAATATTGAAATGTAATCACAGAGAATGTTGCATTTTTGCTTCTTTCTTAGGGGATTTCTCCAATGATCCATGTGAGACATTGCTTCTGCTATATGAGTTTGAAGTTAAAGCCAAAATGAATGACCCATTACTGGACAGTTTCCTGGAATCAGTGTGGGACCTGCCTCTTTTAGAAAGTAAAACATTAGAAATAATTGCAAGTAAGAGCTATATTTATTAGAAGGCTAGTAACCATTTAAATTGTACTACTTTTTTATTTCTTTTCTCTGTTCTCTCTACATTTCCTCATAGCACTTTGGTTTGCCTTCTCTAATGGCATTCTTGAACCATTTTGTATTATAATCATTTATGTATTTATCTTTTTCTTTATATAAGACTAGAGGCCTGGTGCACGGATTCATGCACCAGTGGGGTCCCTTGGCCTGGCCTGCAGGGATCAGGCAGAAATCAGCTCTCCGACATCCCCCGAGGGGTCCCGGATTGTGAGAGGGCAGTTCTCAGGTGATGCACCCCAGAATCATGCTCCCTCCTCTCTGGTTCCGGGTGTGTCACCTGAGAACCCTGAGAACCACAGCTGCCAAGTCACTGCAGCTTGGCAGCTCCTGCATTGAGCGTCTGCCCCCTGGTGGTCAGTGTGCATCATAGCTACCAGCCAGTAAGCCAGTTGCTTAGGCTTTTATATACTGTACTAGTAGCCCGGTGCATGAAATTCGTGCACTGCGGTGGGGGGGAGTAGGGGCCCCTCAGTCTGGCCTTCACCCTCTCCAATCTGAGACCCCTCAGGGAATGTCCAACTATCTGTTTGAGCCCACACTTTTAACAGATAACAGCTCCATTGTTGTTCCTTTCTTATGCTTAAAACCATTGGAATTAGTAGGTATTCAAAGTGTGTATACATTTTGGGGGGACACCCTGTATATCTCTAGTCAGTGGTGAAAGAAACCAACAGCAGATTTGGAACCCCCAGACAGGGAACCTTGCTCATTCCCCACATGTCTCCCCACTTCACTTTCCACCTTCGTGGGCAGCAGGAGAATCAA